AGCCTGGTCCTCCTCCTCCTCCTCCTCCTCCTCCTCCTTTTCCCTGGGCCTCCTAACAGGCGGGGAGGAACTCATGAGCCTTGGACTGGGCTTGGGAACATGGTGACATGATGACGCCCACTTACTGTGTGTTCCCGAGAAAGTCTGCTTCCCCAGCTGTGAAATGAGAGCATTTGGATCAGATCGGCAGCTCCAAGCTGTTGAGGACGGGCAATAGGAACAGGTCAAACAAGACTGGTGTCTGGAGAGGCCCAATGTGAAGTCCTGGGGGCAAGGGACTCGCAGTCCATCCCCGCTTCCTGGCCCAGGCTTCTCGTTGTTTAAAGGAAGGCGTCCTAATTTCCTGTGGGCCTGTCCTCTGTGTTGCATGATTTGGGGAAGCTGGCCCTGTTGCTGACTAAGTCCAGCTCCTGGATAAACTCACGTAACCCCCGGAGATGGCCTGCGGGGGGTGGAGGCCGCAGCCTGTGGGCGCACCTCCCTCTCCTGTCTCCTCCGTGGGATGTGGTGATGAGCAACATGTCAGGTTGCTAGGCTCCCAGGCACAGCCCTGCCTTCCCTACTAGCTCTGCAACCTTAACCAAGTCACTCAACCTCTCTGAGCCCCAGTTTCCTCAATTATAAAAGAATGTAGTGATGAGGGCACAGATAACGGAGCCAGGTAAGCCCAGGTTCAAGTCCTGGCTGTGCCACTTCCGAGCTTTCTGACCTTGGGCAAGATATTTAATCTTTCATTTAATTCTCATCTGTAAAATGGCAAAACAATAGTGCCCGCTACATCTAGTTCATCGTGAGCGCTGAGTGAGAAGGGCCACGTAGAGCAACTGACGCCGGGAAGGGCTTCATAAGTTAGTGCCCGTTAGGTTTACCCTGCGAAGCTGCTCAAGCTCTTCTGATCCCCGGTGTGAGTTCCCTGGGAGCTTCGGTCCCGGGTGGCTGCGGGTCCCATGTGCCCCTGGGTGCTGTAGCAGCGGCTGGGAGGGCTCTTGGGTCTGGGTCCAGGGAGCAGGGTTTTCCCTGGCGACTCCCAGCAGGCGTGAAGCACCCACAGCCGCCGTCTCATTGCCCTACAGGTGATGGAGGAGCTGCAGGCCACCTCCGTGCACAACGACGAGAGGGAGCTGCTCCAGCTGCTGTCCACCCCCCACCTCAGGGTAGTCATGTGCGGGCCCTGTGTCTCCTGTGCATTCAGTCGTGAAACTGAGGAAAGGGGGCTCCTCAGTGAGGGATCCTACGTACCAGTGTCCGGGGTGGTTGTCTGGCATGAAATCTGAGACCCCCTCCCCCCACCACTACCACTGCCCGGCCAAGGCCCCCTGCCTGACCCCTGGGAGCTCTGGGCCAGCCTTTCATTTCTCATGCTTTCCTGACAGGCCATGCTCATGGTGCATGATACGGTTGCTCAGAAGAATTTCGACCCTGTTCTCCCGCCTCTGCCTGACAATATTGATGAGGACTTTGATGAAGAATCAGTGAAGATTGTCCGCCTGGTAAAGAACAAGGAACCCCTGGTATGTGGCACCCCAGCCCCGCCCCCTTTCCCTGTTCCACCCAGAAAACTGGGAAGGGACCCTCAGGGCACCCCTTTCTTTGGGTGGATACAGCCTCCCTCCACTGTGGCCAAGCTCCTTTCTGCAGTGAATAACCTGCACGACTGCGGGGCAGCTCTGCTCATCGTGCTCTGAACTGGCAAACCATGGTCCAAGGGCCAAAGCCAGATTTTTGTCAATAAAGTTTTATTGGTACACAGCCATCCTGTTCCTTTCCGTACTGTCTACAGCTGCCTTTACATCGCAAGGGCAGAGTTAAGTAGCTGCACAGGAGGCTATGCGGCCCCCGTGGCCTAAAACACTTACATTTGGCTCTTTACAAACCGGTCGCCAGGCCCTGCTCTGACTCCCGAGGAAGCCCCGGCAGCAGCTATTCTTCTCCCCAGCTGACAGACGGTTATCATGCTGGTCCTGGTTCAGCATTGATTACTGGGCAAAGGGACAGGGTTGTTTATTAGAAGGAGGGAAGTAGGGGAAGTCCAGAGAATTGAGTGCTTGCCCAGAAGAACACCGCTCCCGGCACCCTCTATAGCCAACTTTCACCAGATGACCTCAGATGACCCCCTGCTGCAAACAGAGCGAGGTCTCTCCTCTGCCTCTGTTTCCCCTCTTTCCAAATGGAGCAGTCACCCACCAACTGGGCAGACACCTCGTGCACCCTTCTGTGTGCCAGGCACCCTGTTGGGTACAGGCAGTTCAGAGATGATTAAGACCTGGGAGTTCACAGGAGGTGGTGACTGGGGGCTTCCTGGAAGCGGTGATGCCTGTGCTGAATTCCAAAAAAAGTGAGCAGGAATCTTCTAGAAGGAAAAGGGAGAGGGCATGCCACAAAGTAGACTGCACGAGCAAAGCCACGGGAAGGTAAATGGCCTGGAATATTCAGGCAGTCGGAGCTGCCTGGTGTGGACATAGAATGCCAAGTTTGAGGTACAGAGCGACAGGGGTGAGGCCAGATCAGTGGCAGATCACAAAAGAACCTGCTTGTCCACGCAGAGTTCTTAGCTTGACCTTGAAGGCGGGGGGAGCCACGGAAAGGTTTTAAGGAAGAAATAGCATGGCCAGATGTGCAGTGCAGAAAGATCACCCAGTGGAAAGCAATCCGGAGAGTGAGGCCCGAAGCAGAAAACCAATCTGAAAGTGGGGGCCAGACCCACGAGGTTCAGAAATGGGGCCTGACCTAGACCCGTGGGAATAGGGAAGAGAAATCCAAGAAAAAGTTCAAAATGGTTGTCACGTTGTGCCTGCCACCGTTTGGGCAGGAGTCTGGGGAGGCACCTGGGATAATGCCCAGGTGTCCTGCTTGGACGACTGTGTGGTGTTGGGGCCGTAATTCTGGGGAGGAAATAAGGAGCTCAGGCCCTGCTGAATTCAAGAGGCCCGTGCCACTGGAACTGGGGGTGTCCAGGAGGTGGAAGGATTATGTGTCCAGAGATAACAGACTTGGCAGCCCCCAGCCTGCAGGAGGGGTTAAAATCACACCTGAGAGGTCGACACCTCTTGGGTGGAGAGTTTACAAAGTGAGACCTGAAGAGGGCCGGGGCCAGGTCCCAGCCCTCCTGTACTCAGCATTTCAAAGGCAGATAGAGGAGGGCTCAGCTGAGAGAGAGGTGTCGCCAGGGCCCAGGCTGAGACCGAATTCCAGAGGGAGGGTGAGCACCAGAGTCAGGCAGGAGGCTGATCGGAGGAGAGCAGGCTGAGGGCTGCAGCTGGCAGGCCATCAGGTGCTTTTGCTGTTGCATCTGTGTTGGGGTCCAGCCCCAGCAGGTCCAGGGGTTCCCAAAGGTGTGGACAGAGTCGGCGAAGAAGGAATGACATGGAGACAGTGTTCAATTGATCAGCAGCCTAGCCAGGATCTCTAGCCAGGAACTCCAGCCAAGTTCTGGTTAGGATCTCTAGCCAAGTTCTGGTTCGGTTCTCTCACTAGGTTCTCCAGCCAGGTTCTCCAGGTTCTCCAGCCAGGTTTGGTCGCCAGGTTCTATACAG